TTAAGTATTCAATAAATTATTTATTTTTCTATTTAAAATTTTAATAATTGTATTCTCGTAGAATTTACTAATAAAAATTTATTTAAAAATGAATTTTAGTTAAAATTTCAGATAATACCTAATTGAAAATTTAAAGCATTTTATAGCGTGAATTTTTAGAAATAATTGAATTTCGAAAATGTTTCAAATTAAAATCTCAGAATTCTTAATACTTTTAACTAACAATTTTGTAGAATTAATTTTTTTTCGATAAAGTTTAATTGGATTTTTTTTATATTATTTGAAGTTTATATTTTCTAATAAATTTAATTGAAGAATTTCTGAATAATTGAAATTTCGTAAAATTGAATATTGTAAAATTTATATTATAAAAATTTATAATTTATAATATTATTATTAAAATTTAGAATATTATAAAAATTTATGTTTATTATTAAAATTAAAATTATTGTTTACGTTTATAATCGCGTCGATTTAGGTGAAAAATTAAATATTTTTGGGTCTTTTTGCATATATTTTTCATTAAAGAAAACTTTCTCTTTAAATCCCATTAATACAGTTTAAAAATATTTTTCTTGAAAATGCGAAAAATTCCTCCACCTCCCTCCCTCTATCTCTCTCTCTCTTTCCCTTTTCTCGACCCAAATACACGGAGTATTTGTATATTTTGTGAATTTCGCAAATTTGAAAAGATTTACTGCATGTTGTCCCTCTACCTGTTTAAAATAAAATTACCTTCTTCTCGACATTATTCGGAACTGTGGGAAAATCCCAACATCTGGTTGTCATCAGTATTAACCCTGAGAAATCTTTTTACGCATACACTTGAATTTTACAGGGAAAAAAAAATTTTCTTTTTTCTTGACCTCCCCTAACAACAACTATACAGGTGCGTAAAAGGATTTTTATTGTATATTTGTATTACAGGTGCAATCTCTTCAGGTGTAAAAAAATACACTTTTCTTAAAAAGTGTAAAAAAAAACCGAAGGAAAAATAATTAGAATTAAAAAATAACTTTATTTTTAGATTCTAATTATTTTTCCTTTAGTTTTTTAAAATAATATAAAGCCAAGTATTTAAATTTTTACTTTGTTTACTATTTACATCAAGTAAAAAGTTTATTATTTTAAAGGCAAAAATGTAAATTAATAAGAGGCAAGAAAACAAGAATATAAAAAATTTAGGCTATTTTTCCAAACCATTGTCATCATAATGTTTATTTTTTCTCTGGTCCACCAAAATTCTCTCCCTCCTTCTGTTTTTAAATATACAATGTAAGAGAAACAGAAAGAGAGAAGATAAGTTTTCTTGATGAGATTTTGTTCAGTTTGTTGTTTAAGAAGTCGCACGTGGTTCAGAAGAGAAAAGCATCTCAAAATTTTGTACATTCGCACCTTCTGAAAATTTTTGTTGGTAAACTATAAGAGAGAGAGAGAGAGAGAGCGAAATGGCCTAAAACCCAAAATCCCAAACATATGTTTCGTATTAAATCTATATACCTGCTTGTGCGAAGTGAAGAAACTGCGACTAAAGATTTTAAGAATAAATCGCCGAACAAATATATCTAAATATACGAAAATCTCACTTTAAAACCAATAGGAGCAATAACGAATAATAGTTTAAAAGAAAGAGAGGGGATAGGCTATTATTCGTTATTTTCTTCTTTTCGCACCTTTATGAGAAGCACTTTTCTTCATTACATTTAAATAATATTCATTCTCTTCTAATAATAGTTGCGAAATTCTCTTAAAAACTATACTGTTTTCATAATAATTAGAAGATTTATTCATTAGCATAAATTTTATATGTAGGGTCTCAATTTCCATACACTTTACAGCATCTTAATTTTATTTTTTCACTGAATAGAAAAATTTAAAAATCATTCGAGTCAAATCAAACAACTGATGCCGCTACCTAAAGTTATTGTGTACCAAAGTTGAAAATCTCATGAATTATAGAAAAAAAAAATTCACGATATAGAGATGAAGAATTTATTATTTAAAGTATTATTTATTTATTCACTTATTATTTATTTTGTTGATTTTGTACAAGTATTTATTATTTCTTTCTTTCTTCATTACTTATCCCTTTCCTTCTGTCTTTCTTGCTTAGTTATTTATTTATTTAATAATCTATTGTTTATTTATTGTTTACTTATTATTTAGTTCACTACTGTTAACTTAAAAGTATCAAATTGCAACGAATTGATACCAAAAATTCGGACCAAATAAAGAATAATTGATCTAAATTTTTGGCATCAATTTGATTCACATTATAGTATCAATTTTATATATTAGATATTTTCAAGAAAGCTGAATTATTATTTTCTTTTTTATTATTAATCTTCAAAAAAGCTCTTACATTTATTTATTTTCAATTTCAAAATTGAATTATTTTTTAAAATTGATGCTATATTTCTTTTAATATTTCAATTTTCATAAAGAATTTTAACAAGAACTTTTCAATAATTTGAATTCTTTCGACGAATTTTAATAAAATTTTAAAAGAATAAATAATTACATTTTTCTAGAAAAATCGTAAAAAATATGAAAAATTTCAGGAGAATTGAATTAGATTTCAATTTCAAGTACAAAAATAAAGAATTTTATTAACAAATTTTTAAAATATTGAATTCTTTTGACGAATTTTTATAAAAGTTATTTAAGAATAATTATATTTTACGAGAAATTCAATTAAAATTGTATTAAAAATAATTGCAATTCTTCGATGATTTTTATTATTCATGATAATAAATAAATTAATTCATAAAAAAATTTTTATTATTTATGAAAATAATTGAATCCCTGTAAAATTTTGATTATTTTTGGAAATAATTGAATTATTGCGAAGAAATTTATAAAAAATTTGTAAATAATTGAATTCCTGTGAAATTTTTATTATTTTATTGAAAATTATTAAAAGTTTGCGTAGAATTTTATTAATTTTTTTTTAAATAATTGAATTCTTTTGGAAATTTTTATTAGATTAGTGGATATTAAAAATCATTGAATTGAGGAAAATTTTTGAAAATAATTGAAATTTTGCCAAAAATTTTATTAACATTTTTGAAAATAATTGAATTCTACAGAATTCTTATAGTTTAAAGTATGAAAAATTCAAATTTTCAAAGATTTTAATTTTAAAACTTTTCAAAATTCAATTATTTCAAGTACAAAAAGTAAAGAAATTTTATTAATAAATTTTTAAATAATTGAATTCTTTTGACGAATTTTCATAAAAGTTATTTAAGAATAATTATAATATTTTACGAGAAATTCAATTAAAATTGTCTTTAAAATAATTGAAATTCTTCGATGATTTTTATTATTTATGATAATAATATTGAATTTCTAAAAAGATTTTTATTATTTATGAAAATAATTGAATCCCTGTAAAAATTTTATTATTTTTGGAAATAATTGAATGATTGTGAATGAATGTATAAAAAATTTGTAAATAATTGAATTCCTATAAAACTTTTATTATTTTATGAAAATAATTGAAGATTTGTGTAGAATTTTATTAAATATGTTTTAAATAATTGAATTCTTTTGAAAAATTTTATTAAAGTAGTAGATATTAAAAATCATTGAATTGAGGAAAATTTTTTAGAATAATCGAAATTTCGCAAAGAATTTTATTAAAATTTTTGAAAATAATTGAATTTTGGGGAAGAATTTAATTATTTCTAATAAGATAATTGAATTTTGGGGAAGAATTTATTTATTTCTAAAGTTAATTGAAATTTCGGGGAAGAATTTAATTAGTTCTAAAGATAATTGAAATTTTGGGAAAGAATTTAATTATTTCTAAAGAGTAAAGATAATTGAAATTTTGATTATAGTTCCAGCCCTGTTAAATATTTAATTAATTAAATAGTAACTGATTTTAAAAAAGTGGAGCGTTCGGCATGTTTGACAATATTTTTTGCATCATAAAGGTCTTTCCACATTATGTCCATAAGGACCTTCGGACATAAGAAACAACTTTGCTTCTATGGGCATTTTTGGTAAAATTTATTCAACACATGTTCGGTTGCACTTTACACGACAGTTGTAGAGTGCAAGGTGTAACCACATGATTTTCATTCGTATTTATAAATATACACAAGGATCCTCTCTCGGTACCAAGGAAAATATGTATATTTTCAAAAATATACCTACTTAATATAACCATAAAATTTTCTCGGCTTTAAATCTCCTGTCATAAGTTATTTCTTTTGACATCTTGAAAACCATAAGGCTGGTGCAGGACCTCAATATAATTTTTCATGTAAATAAAACGACTGGTGTAATTGACTTCTCATTAAATTAGTTTCTTTAAATCGCTATTTTGCCTCTGAAGGCTCATAAAATTTACGAGCCAGGTAATTAGATTAAGTGAAGATTATAGGATTATTCATCTTCTTACGTGAAATGGGAGTAAAAACTATTCAGTCGAAAAGTGTAAACACTTTTCGACTGAATAGTTTTTTTAGTTTTTTTAGTTTTTTTTTTAGTTTTTTAGTTTTTTTTTTTTTAATTTTTTTTTTTTTTTTTTTTTTTTTTAAGGATGAAAAAAAGCATTTTTGTAATTTTTTTGTAATTTCGAATAAATAGATAATGATGGATATAAATTAGGAGAAAGATTTCTGGTATGTCGAATATATAAGTACAGATTTGATGCAATTATAATTGCGGTCTTTACAGGTATTTATGGAAATTCTTTTTCAGTTTATTTAATTCAAATAATCGATTTATTGTCTATTGTCAACTAAATTTTTAATATATCAAATAATTTTTATTTGAATCAAACAGATTTTGAACTAATTTTAACAATTTGTACAATTATTAACGGATTTACGTAAATTAGTGAAAATTCTATTTATATTCAGGTTTTCTAAGGATATCAAAATTGAGACAAAAAATGATTCATTTTTTGTCTCAATTTTGATATCCTTAGAAAAACTATATGTATTTATTTATACAGCAAAAATATTTTATGTTTGATTTAAATTTGAATTATTGATGGTGAATAATGAGAATCAGGCTAAATGAAAAATTAAATAAAATTAATTAAATTAATTAAATTAGTGATGGTTTAGAGAAAGAATTTCTTTCTCCATAAGAGATAAAGAAGAACAATAAGAAGAAAAAGAAAGAAATAAGAAGAAATGAAGCAATAAACCGTGACGCATTTAAATTGCCACCTGAGTCATATCGTGAGACAAAATTTTTTTTTCCGAAAAATTTCCCAGGCTCCTTCCGACCACCCTCGGTTAAATTTTACAATTTCAATGTTTTCTGCCGCATATTCTATACTATGTACCCGCCTGCCATCTTCTTTCAATGTTTACACCCTTTATGGACATTGAAAGACGAAATTTTGCCATAGGCTCTCTCCCACTTCTTCTTCTTCTTCTTCATCATCCAATAGCATTTTTTTCCCCGAGATAAAAAGTGTATTATCTTCCTTTTTTCCTCTATTTATTCATTTTATTCATTTTATTCACTTTATTCTCAATGCCAAGGGGGCTGGTACCGACTTTAGAAAAATTGGTCCTTTTTTTTCTTCTTCTTCTTCTTCTTTGAGAGAAGAAATGTTGGTGTGAAAATGGACACACGGCAACAGTAAAATGATGATGCAAGTGTAGAAGTGTACCAAAAAGGGAGACCCTTGAAAAGCTGGTAAGGGACTGACCCTGCCAAGGGTGGAGCTTAAAAGAAGGGTGGTACCTTCCACTCGAGGGAAACAACATGGGGCTGGCTTCAACACCAGTTGTTAAAAGGACTCGTTTCAACTTCTCAGGCAGTCTACTAAATTCACGAGTTGCGACTGCACATCCCAGCCAAGGAAATACTCACTTATTTTCGAAATCTCTTATAGTCCCGAGTATTTTGTTTTTAAATCCCCGAAAAAAACTCGTTGAATTTATTTTTTAAATTATACGCGATATTTTAAGTTTGATGGTAAAAAGTGTGGCTCATGTTGTGTGTGTGATAATAAATTTTAGTCTAAATTCTAAGGCAGCATAATGGGACCTATGGTGGATAATGATACGCGAGCCGCTGGTTTGCTTTTACACAGTGATCCGTATATTTCTTGCTGGAAACGTAAACAAGCACAGCTTAAAGGTATGTCCTCTTTTTCGAAATTGACACACAAAAGGTCATTAGGCAAATAATTTTCTCCTATAAACAATTCCATTTTTTAAAGCAAAAAAAAAAAATTGCAAGGATGAAAAAAAGCATTTTTTTTATTTAGCAGTGGCAAATTTTTTTTAGACAAAATATTTTGATTTTTCGAATAAGTGAGCAACTACTCTTTAGATAAAAATTTTAAGTGTGCTAACGAATTTTTTTTATTCTAAAAAATTGTTTGACAAAAAAGATTTTACCAACAAATCTGTTATGGTAATTTTTTTTCCGTACAAACTGCGGAGTATTTTTTACCGAGGTTTTTATCGAAAAGGTTTTTTCAGAACAGATTTTACGACAATGGACTTTTTACCAAAAAAGTTATTTCAAGAAAATTTCTTACTAAAAAAGATTTTACCAAAAGAGTTGTTACTAAAGAAGTTTTCTCAAAAAAAAATTATTCCTTCAAATATTTATCAACAAAATCATCCTAAAGTTCTAAACGAAATTTATTTACATTTCTTCTTCAAATTAAATTTTTATTATAATATATTTGCTCCACTATGAAGAAAATTAATAATAAAGTTTCTCAGTGTAAAATTTGAATTCTTAACTTTCGTTCTAATCAGTTATTACTATTAGCAAAATGTTTCGTTCATTTAAGCATTAAACAATTGTGGATCTTAACAAAAAAGCTTCTTTGAAAAATTTCTTATAAGAAATTTTTCAAAGAAAAAAATTTCTTATTAAAAACATTTTTGTTACGAACAAGTTCCTTCAAAAAAATCTGCCACCAAAAATTTTGTTTCAAAACTTTAAAGAAGAGAAAAATTAGATTCGAGCCAAAAAATTACGTATACCAAAAATTTGTTTCAAAAATTCTGGTGCTATTTTAATTATACGCAAGCATCACAGAGGAATATCAATAATGAATAATAATTACCCTTCGGTTCAAAATTCCATTTAACTGCGAAGTTTATTTCAAATATTTACTATTGTTCTATAATTAATATTTGCAGAAAATAATTGTAAATCCAAATTATTATTTTTATATTACAAATAATCATTTCAATTAAAAAATAAGCGAATAAAAATTTGAAAGTATAGAATTCAGGAAATAGATTTCAACGAAATTGTCAAAAAATAATTTCAACTAAAAAATAAACGAAAAAAAGTGGAAAATAGGATTTAGAAAATTTTCAATAACAAAATCGACAAAAAATAATATCAACTGAAAAATTATTATTTACAAGAAATAAAAAAATGGAAAATAGAATTTAGAAAATAGATTTCAAGGAATTTGGCAAAAATTAAAAAAAAAACTATTTACAAGAAAGTTTAAAGAAAAGAAATTATTAAAAACTCGTTTTGCTTTGAAAGTGTCAAGAAAATAAATTTCCTGTTCCATGAAACGATAAGAGGACGTGCATACATATTTTCTTTTAATTATAACATAAATCAAAAGTGCATTGTGTTTCATGTAACCATTTGCAAAAAAAAAGAAAGAAAAAAAAAGAAAAAGTAATAAAAAAATAAATTCCTAGCAAAGTTAAGCAATTCACCGTTTAGGTCACGGTGCGGATATCTTATAACCACGCGAGAGTTTCTTGGTATCATTACAATACTTCTGTACCGCCTTTTACAATTTTCTCGCGCCGGTTTCTTCACCTCTGTCACTGAATTCACATATATGAGACCAAAGAAATTGCGTAAATATTTTCTTATAGCAAAAAAAAATTCAACGACAAAGAATTTTTTCTATTTTCTCTATTTATAAGATATTAATATTGGAAAAATTGATATTTTTCAATCCTTTTACTGTATAACCTGTATAATTATCGTTTACTCAAATTTTTTAGCCTAGAATTCTATTTATTATAATTACTTTGCTATAATTATAATTATTAGCAAATTAAAAATACTAACAAAAAAAAATAATAATAATATAATGTTTAGCATTATTTATTTTGGACTTTTTGACTTTGGATATTTTTACTGTGGATTTTTTGTAACTTTAGACTTTTTTTCTTGGATTTTTTGTAAATCGGACTTTTTTTTTTGAATTTTTTATCCTGTAATCGTAATATGAATAAAAGGTGTTTAAATTCCTTTGTTTGACCTATATAATGCCCATTAGGACAATCAAAGGAATTTAAACAACTTTTATTTATCTAATTTATGGCTTCTAAAAATATTTAATTACTAATAATAGTAATAGAAGTATGTAATAATAACAATAATAATAATACGAAATAAAAAAATATGACCCTAACAATTTTGAACGTCCAAATGAACGGAATTATTTATTTCTTCTTCAAATTAAATTTTTATAGCAATATAAAAATAATAAAAAATTTTGTTCATTTGAACTTTCAAAACAGTTCAATATTTTTTATTTGGATTACAAATAAAAAATATCGAGCACTCACAATCAAATTAAAAATAAATATTGATTTATTTATTAAATATGTACAAAATTTCATTAATTAACAATAAAAATATTAAGTTTTGTTAAGCAAACATTACAACAAGAGCTCATTAAGTTTGCGAGATAATAATTAGGTAATTATAATTTTTTAGGTAGACATTTTTTTTTTCGTTAATTATATGAGAAAAATTAAATTAATTTCCTCGGGGGAAAAAAAATTCTGTAAAGAGCATGCTCACTTTCTTCTCGATATTATATATGTATATAGACACAAAAATGGGAAAGGTATATATATATATTGAATGAAGATGAAAAAATGAATAATTCAAGGCGAATTTCCATCTGTGAGAAGTCTCGCGAATGGGTGGAAACATCGTTAGGTTGCTCTCTTGTCGTCGTTTTAATGATGGTTTGCTCCCTTTTGCTTCTGGAGCGGTTATAATAATAACGAGCAAGTTTCGATGTTCAATCCGCGCATTTTGTTCAACAAAATTTCATGTAGCAATTTTTTTTTTATAATATTCCCCCCCCCCCCCCTCCAAAAAAGAAATCCAATTTACATAATTAATAAGGAAAACTATTTACATATTATAATATTAAATTACATTCCCCTAAAATTATATGAACTATTTCTGTCAAAAAAATAATAATAAAAAAAAAGAAAAAAAACATAAAAATTTCCAAAATTTGATAATTTTTAATTTAATCTCAATCTCAATGGAAACTTTCGCTGTATATTAATTTTAGAATTTTATATTGATAAATTTATTGTATTTAATTTATTGGTTATATTTAAATTAAATTTATTGTTTGAAAATAACGAAATTCTTTTTTCTTTTTCAGCTTACAAATACGCGTCGGATACTCTGGATCTGACTGCAACACAGTTATTGAATAACAATAACAACAATAATAATAATTTGATAAGTTTCTTTAACGACAATAGTGGCACTGGTCCACCAGAAGTTGTGATGAAAGAGAAAAGTAAAAATGCGGCGCGATCGCGTCGTGAGAAGGAGAATCAAGAATTTTCCGAACTCGCAAAATTACTTCCACTTCCAACTGCAATAACAACGCAATTGGATAAAGCCAGTATTATCAGACTGACAACGAGTTATCTTAAAATGAGGCACGTTTTTCCACACGGTGAGTTGAAATTTTTAAAAAATATATATTCACAACATTTTTCTTGTATAAGCGATGCGAAAAATTTATCTTCTTTATTTATCAATTTTAATATTTTATTATTTATCTATAAAAAAAAGTTATATATTTCACTCAGAGCGAACTGAACATTTTATTTTGCTTGAATAAATTTTATTTGGTTCAAAAAATTTTTATTTGTTTCAAGTAAATTTTAATTGGTTCAACAAGAATTTTATTTCGTTCAAATAAATTTTATTTGGTTCAACAAAAATTTTTATTTGTTTCAAGTAAATTTTAATTATTTCAACAAGAATTTTATTTCGTTCAAATAAATTTTATTTGATTCATTTTTTGTCTCAATTTGATAATCTTAGAAAACCTCTGTTAGCAATCGCAGTTTTTTTTAAAAAGAAATATTTAAATATGGCGAATATTTTGTTCATATTTAAACGTTTAAATCTTGCACTGGACCATTTTTCCTGCTGCGGTAAAATATAAATGTTTCACGAACAGAAAAGAAAATCTAATGAACCGTATAATTGTATATAAACACAATTGACAATGAAAGTGACTTTTGAGAAATTTCTTTTTTTCTTTTTTTTTTCTAAACGTCTTTAGAGCGGTTTTTCGGAACATAGAGAAGCATCGCAAGGGATGGCAATGCAGCCCTTTGTTAATTCAGACACAAGACACTTACGCGCAAAGGGCAAATAGTATCGGATGAGATGGGTGTGATTGCGCACTTAATGCATTGTTAGCTCTGGTGCTTTGTAAGCAAAGCATGGGGGCTGTTATAGTGTTACAATAGCCCCCTTTTCACCCTCCCCCCTCTCCACCTCTATCATCGGCGAATTGAATTTCAAGTGGCCGCATCCCTCTAGAATACAGCGTCGTCTTTATTCTTAAAAAAAAAAGCTTCCAAGCCCTTTACTGGAGCCACTTCACAGTACATCCTTTTTCCCTTCTTGCGCTATATATATATTTAAAATTTAAAAACAAAAATTACATAAACGCTGAGAGTAAATTTTTCTTTTAAAAAGAATCAATTTTTATGCTTCATGGTTAAATTTACAACTTTTTTTATAAGGGATTCTTTACTTCTTTGCAAAGAAATAACAAAAAAAAAATAGGTTCAAATGTAATGAAGTATATTAAAAATTTCCAACGAACGGAATTTTAATTGTTAATTAGCAGTATGAAATGTATAAAATGTATTAAATGTCAGGGTTGTCACGCTTTTGCTCTTTTCAAATTCCCTGACTTTTCCAGGTTAAAAAACGAAAATTTTCCAGGTTTTTAAAATACATTTATAACAAATTAAATACTTCCCTGCTTTCCAGACAAAACTTTGACTGTTTCTAGAATTTTCAACTAAAATTCTTCTTTAAGTCAATTTTTTTTAAATTTTTGAAAAAGATCTTTGAGAATTTTCAAATCCTTCTTTTTTACAATTTAATTTTACGAAATTTCGATTATTCTGACATTCTTCAATTTAATATATTAAAAATTGAAAACTTGAAATAATTAAAAAAAAATCCATTAAACTTTTTGAAAAAAATTAATTCTGCAAAATTCTTAAGGGCATTTGAACCATTATGACGTCATATAGGTTCTGCAAAGCATGTGTTTTAAGGCTGTGACGTCATCATGGTTCAAATGCCCTTAATTAAAAGTATGAAAAGTTTAAATTTTCAAAAATTTTTATTTTAAATCTTTTGAAAGGTTTCAATATTCAATTATAATCTAAAATTTTAACTGAAATTCATTTTTTAAATCAATATTTATGTAGAAAATTCTACGAGCATTCATGTATTTAAATACAAAAATAAATATTTTATTTTAAATAATTAAATGTTTCTTAAAATTGAATATTCATAAAGAATTTAAAAATTTTTTAAATAATTGATTTCTTCTTTTTACTCTTCTCCCCCGTGAATTAAAAAAAAAATTAATTTCTTTTCATGAATTTTAATAAAATTTTTAAGAATAATTTAATTTTTCGAGAAATTTAATGAAAATTGTATTAAAAATAATTGCAATTCTGCCAGGAGTTTTATCAAAATTTTTGAAAGTAATTGAATTTCGGAGAAAAATTTTATTATTTATAAGGGTAATAATTGAAATTTTGACAAAAATTTTTGTTAATTTTTGAACATAAAATTGAATTTCTGCAAAGAATTATATTACTTTTGAAAAGAATTGAATTTCTGCAAAATTCTTAATGAAAAGTATGAAAAGTTCAAATTTTCAAAGATTTTAATTTTAAAACCTTTTGAAAATTCAATTATTTCTAAAAATTTACGCTATAATGCTTTCAATATTCAATTATAATCTAAAATTTATAACTAAAATTTAATTTTCATTCAATATTTATTAGCAAATTTTATTAAATAATTGAATGTTTCTTAAAATTGAATTTTCATAAAGAATTTAATCAATAGATTTTTAAATAATTGAATTCTCTTGATAAATTACAAATTTTGAAGAATAATTTCATTTTTCGAGAAATTTAATGAAAATTGTATATATTAAAAACAATTGAAAATCTGCAAAGAGTTTTATTAAAATTTTTGAAAATAATTGAATTTTGGAGAACAATTTTATATGATTTATAAAGATAATTGAAATTTTGACAAGAATTTTTGTTAATTTTTGAACATAATTGAATTTCTACTAAGAATTATATTTGTTTTGGAAATAATTGAATTCTTGAGACGAATTTTATTAAAATTTCTTTTTAAATAATTGAATTCTTTTTGTGAAATTATATTGAAATATCAGACATTGAAAATAATTGAATTTTGACAAAATTTATTAAAATTATTTTGAAGGAAATTAAATTGTTACAAAGAATTTCATTAAAATTTATGTAAATAATTTAATTCTTTGAAAAAATTTAATTAAAAATGTATTGAAAATATAGGCAAAAGTTTTTAAAATAATTGAATTTCTTTGATAAATTTTAATACAATTTTTAAGAATAATTTTATTTTTCGAGAAATTTATTGAAAATTGTATTAAAAATAATTGAAATTCTGCGATGAATTTCATTTTTTTAAATAATTGAATCCCTGTAAAAAATGTTATTATTTATGAAAATAATGAAATGTTTGCGTCGAATTTTATTAAAATATTTTTTAACTAATTTAATTCTTTTGGGAATTTTTATTAAAGTAGTAGATATTAAAAATCATTGAATTGAGGAAAAATTTTTTAAATAATTCAAATTTTACCAAGAATTTTATTAAAAATTTTTGAATTGAATTCATTTGAATTTTTTGAATTGAATTTCTGAGAAGAATTTTACTGTACTTTTGAAAATAATTGAATTTCTGCAATAATTTGTAATTGCTTTAAAATTCAATTTGTTTTAGTGTTTTTAACTAAAACAATCTAAAATAAAAATTTTTTTTTTTAAATAAAAGAAGAAAATATCGAAGAGTCGCGCAGATTATAAATATCAATAATAAATATATTGATGGAAGGAGAAATGAAGACACAAAAAAAGCAATGTGTGTGTGTGTGTGCCCTGGAATACGTGACAAACCATAACATCATCTCATGTCCAAATCGACCTTTATTTCATTCTTCCAAATGGGCCACGAAAACCATCTGACAAAATATAGATTCATATCTCACTCTCTCTCTCTCGATATAGACAAGTTGTGTGTGTATCGAAATGATCGCTCGCGGTTTTTCTTTTTTCCTTCTTTTGTCATATTCGAAATCAATAATATCCACATTTTATTGACAGCTCCGGGAGATAAAAATTTTTAAAATTGAAATTCAAAACTGTTGACAGATTTATTTGTATTATCCGCATAGGTAAGAAAATTTACAAGGTGCATAATATAATAGTCAAAATATAATAATACTTTTGCAACAATAGAATAATATGAATTTTATATACATATTAGTCAAAAGTAGAAACAGATTTTTATCCGCAAAGAATCAGTATGAGTATACGGATTTCAATAAGTTAGCATACAGATTTTATTTTCGAAAAATGATTTTCTGTGCTTCGTATAATAACGACAGAAAATCATTTTTCGAAAATATTTTTTTTTTGTTAAAATCGTGTGTTATATTTCTTATTGATAATCTAAAAATTATAATAAGTGCGGATTCAGATATGAAAAAGAATCTCAAACCGGTGTTTCGGCACTGACCTACCTTTTTTAGAAAACATTCCAAAAAATTGTATAATCATATCTCTGCGATATAATTTTTTGAAAGTGTTCAAAAGAAGTCGAATGACAAATTCAATTATTTTCATTCAATAGCAAAATAAAAAACAAGTTTTTTTTTAAATTTAACACAAAATTCGAAAAAAATTATTGTTTAGAACAAAATAAGAAAATTAATGATTTCACCTGGAATGCGCCTATGCGGGCCTCAAGAATCGAATGACAGAATAATAAGTTTTGTTCACTCGCGAAGTAAAAGAAAAATGCATTTACATGTATATATATATATATATTGTGTTAAGTTTGGCATACGGGGTAAAATTTTAATGAATGCAAGAACACGTAATACTTTGGTAGCATAGGCTTAGTTACACGTCGAGTGCGAAACACGCGAGTAACATGTAAGAGTGTCAAATTAAAACAGAAAATTGAAGCAAGTACCTATCGTTACAAATATGATTTTATTTATTCCCAGCATCATATTTGATCCCTTATTTTCATTTCGTACATGCAGATGCATATAAGTTCGCTTCATTTTTCAATGCATATATATACAGAATGTAAGGAGTCGTATATGATGACTAAAAATAATGTTCATTAAATATTTTCCAAAAAAAATTTTCATAAAAAAAACTTTAATAAAAGGGGAATTTGAAGTAATTAATATTACTTACTTTAGTATTGTATTTATTTCTTTACTGTACCAGAGAAAATTTTGTATTTAACAAAATATTAACAAAATATCCAACAAAATACACACAGAGAAAAATTTTATTTATTTGTTATTTATTTCTTTTAAATAAAAAATTTGCTTTAACATAAATAATACTTTTATTTGAACCTAATAAAATTTATTTCATACAAATAAAAAGTCTAGTTGGCTCTGAGTCAAATATATATACTTTGTACGAAGGGAGTTTTTGCAATTTTTGTTTTCACAATTATATAATTAAAATAAATAATTTGAAAATTCAAGAAAATTTATTTTTAATTGAAAATATATCAAAATTAATTGAACATTCTCGAAAATTATTAAAATTAATTAAAAATTCATGAAAATTAAATGAACATTCTCGAAAATTAATTGAAAATTCATAGAAATTCATGAAAAATAATTGAAATTAATTAAAAATTCATGAAAGTTGAATAAACATTCTCGAAAATTAATAGAAAATTCATGAAAATTAATTTAAATAAATTGAAAATTCATGCAAAATAATTGAAATTAATTACAAATTTATGAAAATTAATTGAACATTCTCGAAAACTATTTCAAATTAATTAAAAATTCATGAAAATTCAATGAACATTCTCGAAAATTAATTAAAAATTCATGAAAATTAATTTAAATAAATTGAAAATTCATGAAAAATAATTGAAATTAATTGAAAATTCATGAAAATGAAATAAACATTCTCAAAAATTAATTGAAAAGTAATTAAAAATCCATAAAAATTAATTTAATTAAATTGAAAATTCATGAAAAATAATTTTAATTAATTAAAAAATCATGAAAATTAATTTAATTAAATTGAAAATTCATGAAAAATAATTTTAATTAATTGAAAAATCATGAAAATTAATTGAACTTTCTCGAAAATTCATGGAAATTATTAGTACCTAAATCTAATCTTCTTAGTGAATTAACTGCAAAGAAAAATTGCAACTTTTTTATTTTTACTAAAAATACTTTTTTTTACTAAAAATAAGGTTTTTTAAATAAAAATTCATTTTTTCTACTAAAAAAATGGTTATTTTTAATAAAAATTCATTTTTTTTTTACTGAAAATACGATTTTTTCTATAAAAATTCATTTTTTGTTACTAAAAATACATTTATTTAACCGAAAATTAATTTTTTTTAGTAAAACTATACATTGCTTTTACTAAAATTTCATTTTTTTAAACTAAAAATACATTTCTTTTACCAAAAATACATTTTTTTACTATCAAAAATGCAAAAACAATTCTAATTTTCATGAATTGTATTTTATTACAGGCCTTGGAGACGAATGGGGTGCGGCCCCTCCACCTCGTGAATCGAATATGAAGGAATTGGGATCTCATCTCTTACAAGTAAGAATTGGATAAATAACTCTTATTTTTCCTTTATTTTTGAAAAATTAAAAATTTTCCCATATGTAACACCAAATTTGAATTAGGCTAAAAAATTAATTACACAAATTGCAATATTTAATATATAGAAATATTCAACAATAATAAAAATAGAAAAAACATAGAATTAAAAAAAAATAATAGAAATATTGAAATTAAAATTTTATTTTTTATTTTCAGACACTGGACGGTTTCATATTCGTTGTGGGACGTGATGGAAAAATTATGTACATTAGTGAAACTGCAAGCGTGCACTTAGGATTGTCCCAGGTCGGAGATATCCCCTCATTTATTTACTTTCTCTTCTTCTTTGCATTTCAATATCAATTAATTAAATGTAAAAAATATGTCGAATTGGATAAATTAATCGAATTATTTACAGTTTTAACAAATTATTTATTATTAATAATTATATAGCCTTTGTTAAATTGAAGATGAAAATTAAAATTTTTTTCTTTTATCATTTTTTAAATTTTATTATTAAATTTAATTATTGTTATTATCATTATTTTTCGTGTTAGTAATTCTCTTTATTATTAATATTATTACTTTTAATATTTCTTTAATTACTATTTTTATTTTATTATTATTTTTTAAATATTTAGTAAATTCTTCCACAATTATTTAATAAATTAATTTTTTATTATTATTATTAATAATATTTATTTTATTCTTATTATTTTTAGGACGGAATTATATTGTTAATAATAAAAATAATATTCATAACAGTAAAAATATTACTAATTAAAATAAAAATCGCTAATTTTCATAAATGTTAAAACATAATTCTTGTTTCTAATAATAAATTCAGTTTAAATAAAAGTAAAAATTAATAATAAATAAAATAAAAGTAAATTAATAATAAATTTAAATTAATATTAAAAAATTTTTTTAAAAAATTTTTTTAATAATAAATTAAATTAAATAAAAGTAAATTAATAATAGAAGTAAAAATTACTAATAAATTAAATAAAGTAGTTAATTAATAAAAGTAGTTCGTTAAAAAATGTTAATTATAATGAAATATTTTGTTATTGGCTACAGGTGGAATTAACGGGGAACAGTATTTTCGAGTACATACACGAGGAAGATCGAGAGGAAATGGCACGTGTTTTAATTTTACCACAGGAATATTATAAACATCCGGAATATCTACCACCACCGAATGTTAGGGGGGAAATTGAAATTGAAAGGGCATTTTTCATTAGAATGAAATGTGTCCTTGCAAAGAGAAATGCCGGCCTCACGAATCAAGGATGGAAGGTAAATTTTTCAAAAAAATTTCACCATTTTTTTCTCGCATTCCTTTTTAACACTTTTATTTTACATTCCTATTTTTTATATACTATCTTCCCATATATTTTCTTTTTATTCTCTTCTCTATTTTTATTTTTTTATTACCTTTTATTGTATACACTTTATTTCCATCTACTGTACACATTTTTTTCTTTTCTTCTTCTCTTATTTTTCCTTTCCCCCTTTTTTTTATTATATTTTCTCTTCTTTTGCTGTTATATTTTTTCCATTCTATTTTCTCTCCTTCTGTATTTAGAGATTTTTATTCTCTTTCTGTATTGTATATATCTTTATTATATTTTCTCTCATCTTTTATTGTGTATTTCTTTTCATCTTTTTTTTTCGAGAAACGATTGTCTTTATTGTCCGATAATTAATTGCATCATTGAATTTTATTTATAAAAATACACCGCCGGTGATTAAAAAAGAAATCAAAAGGCGCCGCTCTTAAGAAAATTAATTTTTGTGACAAAAAATAAAAATCGATTATAATAACAAGAATATTGATTATTGCGCTTTTTTTGTAATCATTTTGTCAAAGATGAAATTGGCTGGTTTCATATACAGGAAATCGTAAAAGTGAATAAAAATCTGAATGTTAAGTGAGAGATAAGCGAATGCTAGCTGTTATAAGTAGGGGCTGCATTGTTCTGGTCACGCGCGTAGTCTCAAAAAAAAAAAAAAAAAAAGTGAGAGAAGGAAAAGAAAAACCTACCACACACAGGTACCAGTTCGAAAAGAAAAATTCCCATATTAAATATATATTTGTCTAGGAATTATAACACCTTATTTTCGAAAAATAAACGAATTGACAAAATTCTGCGCGGTAAATATTTTTGTTTTCTTTATTTGTTTTTTCTTTAAATAAAATTGCGAGTTGGGAAAATTTTCAGTTAACTTCTGTTTTTTTTAAAGATTATATTTTGAATTAAAATTATATAAATCGTAAATTACGTCAATTATAGGATAGAAATTATAATTTAGGATTAAAACAATGAAACTTCTTGTTGAAATAATTCATGACAAGTTCAAAATTTTTAAATTTGTGAAAACAGGAAATTCTGAAATAATCTATAATTTCAATTTTCGAGTAAATATATATAAAATTTCATTATATTTCATTATATTACATGCAGAAAAATAGGAGAATACAGTAAATTACGATTTACTTAGATTTATTATACAGGACATGTATAAAATTTCGATATTTCCTCACAATGTTAATCCGAGGCCTCGAAATTGGATTGATTATATGGATGGTCCATATGTTCAAAGAAACAGAAAAAAAAAAATATCCGGAAAAAATCAATTGCAATATGAAACTATGGTGGATTTGAGATTTGACGTATAGTGAAAGTCAGCACCCTCTTAAGAAAATGTTTGGCAAATATAGCATTTAGGCCCCATATTTGAAGCACCGTAATTATCGGAAAGGTCGAGGAAATCGTATAGTCCTGTAGGTGTATAGATAGATAAATAAATAAATAAATGTATATGTTAGAGAGAGAGGACCCCAATTGGTGTTGGGTAAAGTCATGAATTCAACCCCGCATATAAGCTGTTAGCTAAGATGAGGGGTGTATAAGCTAGTTTTTGTATGACACTTATGGTGTACAAAGACGGGAACATATAGTTGGCTTTTCCACCCCATCTTGTTTGATATGATGCTTTACTAAAAACTCACGCGTTCATCCTCAATTTACTCTCTAAAACTCCAATCTGCTTTTTACAAACTTTTCTATACAGCGCATATATTCGTCCCGTAAAGTTATATTTAGAAAAAAATTTTTTTTCTATATAGAAATCACTTTTGGATTTTTATCATAAACATTTGCAGAGCTCGAACCAGTGCAAGTATTTAAAATTAAAAATACGAACTTTTTTCGAAAAAGTTCTTGGACAATTTTCAAATCTATTTGTTTACAATATTCAATTGTATGAAATTTCAATTATTCGTAAATTCTTAAATATTATTAGAAAATAAAAACTTCAAAAAAAAAAAATTCAATTTAACTGTTTCAAAAAAATTAATTTCAAAATTTAATTGCTTCTAAAAATTCAGGATGTGTTGCTTTTAATATTCAATTACTAACTGAAATTTTAACTGAAATTCATTTTTAAATAAATTTTTACTCGAATTTTTAATAGAAAATTCTACTATAGAATTCAATTATTTAAATACAAATAAAATGCAAATAAATAATTTATTGAATAATTGAATGTTTCTTAAAATTCAATTTCCATAAAGAAATTTGCATTTATCAATGCAAATTTTTAAATAATTTATTTTTTCGAGGAATTTCGATAAAATTTCTGAGAATAATTACATTTTTCGAGAAATTCGATTAAAATTGTATTGAAAATAATGGAAATTCTGCGATAAGTTTTATTATTTGTGAAAATAATTAAATCACCGAGAAGAATTTTATTATTTTTGAAGAATAGTTAATTTTTGTGAAGAATATTATTACTCTTGAAAATAATTGAATTTCTGCAATAATTTGTAATTTTTCCAAAATTAAATTTTTTCTTCGTGTTTTTAACTAAAATTCTTCTATAAATGCATTATTTTTTAATAATTTTTGAAAAAGTTCTTTGAGTATTTTCAAATTCATTTGTTTGATGCAATTCAATTTTACGAAAATTTCGATTATTTGGAAATTCTTCAATTAAATATATTTAAAAAATAAAAGCTTGAAATAATTTAAAAAAAAAAACATTCTTCACAGGATTTGAATTATTTAAAAGAAATGTAATAAAATTCGTTGCAAGAATTCAATTATTTTCATAATAATAATATTCTACATAGGATTTAAATTATTAAAAAAAAAATTAATAAAAATTCTCTGCAAGAATTTAATTATTTTCCTAAATAATAAAATTCTTCACGCAGGATTTCAATTATATTTTTAGTAAATTCTTCGAGAAAAGTAATTATTTTTAAAATTTTTATTAAAATTCTTCAATAGAAATCAATTATCAATTATTTTTAATAATTATTGCAAAATTTCCTTGAGAATTTTTATAAATCGATTGGTTTATATAATTAAATTTTACGAAATTTCGATTATTTGTAAATCCTTCTATTAAAACTTTTAAAAATATTAATTTTTTGAAAATAATAAAATTGAAATTTTGTCAAGAATTTTATTAAAACTTTTAAAAATAATTGAATTCTACATAATTGTTAGTTAAAAGTATGAAAAATTCAAATTTTCAAAAATTTTAATTTTAAACCTTTTTAAAATTCAATTATTTAAATACAGAAAAAAATAATTTATTGAATAATTGAATTCTTTTGACAAATTTTAATAATTACATTTTTCGAGGAATTCGATTAAAATTATATTAAAAATAATTGAATTCCTAAAAAGAATTTTATTATTTACGAAAATAATTGAATTCCTGTAAAAATTTTACTATTTATGAAAATAATTTAATGTTTGAGAAGAATTTTATAAAAAATTTGTAAATAATAATTGAATTCCTATGCAATTTTTATTATTTTATAAAAATAATTAAAGGTTAGAGTATAGAATTTTATAACCTTTTGTTGAAATAATTGAATTCATTTGGAAAATTTTATTAAAATAGTAGATATATTGAAAATCATTGATTTGAGTAAAATTTTGCCAAGAATTTTATTAAAATTTTTGCAAATAATTGAATTTCGGAGAAGAATTTAATGATTTCTATAAAAATAATTGAAATTTTGACTAGAATTTAAAAAAATTTTTGAATATAATTGAATTTCTGCGAAGAATTTTATTACTTTTGAACATAATTGAATTTCTGCAATCATTGGTAATTTCTCTAGAATTCTCCAAATTATATAGTATACAATTTCACTCTAGAAAAAAATAAAAAGGAAAAAATTTTCTATTTTAAAAAAAAACATAATTTTCCACCTTTTAAAATTTATTGATGAAAGAAGAGGAATTTTTTTTTAGAGAAATTCGAAAAAGAATTTCAAATATAAGTTATCTTTAACTGTAAAAGAGTTAATTAACTTTCAAAATAGACACACATGTACACGAGGTGTGTTTATATGCATATTGTTTGAAGTTTGAAAATTAGTTCGCAACGGAAGGGTTTCCGAACGAAGGATGCGGCATATATACATATTTATATGTGGATATATGCATCATCGCAATTTCAAAACGAAGATAAGAGGCCTATTTGATTTCTTTCGATTGCACCCTCATATGTATATATATGAGCTTTTGAAAGTGCAGCTTTTTTCGCGTTTTCTTCATTGAATTGTTAATTTGCCGTCAAAACTTTTTTCGCCAAGTATCGCACTTAGAAGCTGCATTCAACTCGCACCTGAATTATTCAATTATTCGCATTCAATTATTTTCTCCCCGAAAAAAAGTCTTTCACACTTTTATATTTTTTCCCCCAAACTTTTCAAGGGTAAATTTATAAGTTTTTAAATTAGTTTTAAATTTTCAATTCGTGCGTCAAAAAGAGTATTCTTCTTTTTCAATATAGAGAAATTTTTGATAATATTTTCAATTAAATTCTCCATATTTTTACTAATTAAAATTATTGAAAATAGTATATTAGCAAAAGATTTTTATTGTTATTTTTTATTTGGTTGAGATAAATTAAAGGGCTAATTTTAAAAGGACTTAAGTTCCGAAAATTCGTGGAGAAATTGAAGAGGGTCTTTTTAGTGCTTCTTTTTTTTAACAAAACTTATTTCTTCTTCTTTTCTTTTTTTCGCTTTCATTTATTGTGTATAGTGTGAACGTATAAAACATTTCCGGTGTGTTTTGTGTTACAGGTCATTCACTGTTCGGGTTACCTCAAAGTAAAGCAATGCACAGTCCCCGTAACAGACTACGAAGACAAATACGAATACCCCACTTTTGGTTTAGTAGCCGTCGGTCATTCACTGCCGCCTAGTGCAATTACGGAAATCAAACTCCACAATAACATGTTTATGTTCCGGGCATCTCTCGATATGAAACTCATATTCCTCGATTCCAGGTATGTTCATATTTTTTTCCTTATTTTCATATCAAAATTAAATCAGAACCAAAAATAGGAAAAGGAAATTATTGCTTTTCCGATTTTTGGTTCTGGTCTTGAAGAAAATATAACAATTTTTTAAGGATTTGTTTACTGTATAATAGCATTTTTAAAATCGAGTTGCATTCCGACAAATTTTATTATTGTATTTTGATTTAAATTTGTCAGAAGGATGTAAATATTTTGTTGAAGCAAACACAATTTTTTTGTCGAGCAATTAAATGCTGAATCGTACGGTTTATAATTATTGAAGTATTTCGAGGGAGTGACTAAAAAAGGGTTTGTGCCCCTACCATTAAAATCAGTTTCGTATTACCAGAAAACTTTTTTTTTTTTACTGCTGTAGGCAGATAAATGCTCAACCACTGAACACGTGTGCAGGATATTGAACGTCAGGTGCTTTGACAATTTTTAGAATCAAAATTTTTAACTACCTTCTTTAATGTCATTCCGTCTTTTTATTTTGTACCGTTTTTAATTTAATACCAATAATAAAAATTATCAGAATTTAAATCATTAGATTTGTCCGATGATAATTAAAATTACCAGAATTCAAATCACTCGGTTGATTAATGAAAATTAAAAATTAAGAAATGTAGAAAATTTGTAGTATTATTATTGTTGTAATTTAAATTATTTGCATTTTTTTATTAGTACTCAATAGTAATAGTTTTGTACTCAATGGTACTAAATTTAAGTATACACAATTGGTTCAACAATGCTTGTAGTTATATAGTAAAGAGAAAATCTGAAAATTAATCGATATTAATAGCCTGTAGTAAAACTAAAGTGGAACATTACTTGAATTGGTTGCAGTGTACCAAAATTAACCGGATATGAACCAGCGGACCTTATTGACAAAACGTTGTACAATTATATCCACGCGAGCGATATTCACGATCTGGCCAATGCTCACATTCTCCGTAAGTACAAATACAATTACAAAATTTTTCCACTAAAATTGCGACGAGGAGTAAAAATAAAATTAAAAGTTCCAGTAATTTTTTTTGGATTATTAATACAATTGCGAGAAACAATATAATTTATTCCCAAGATGGCTAAGGATTTTCAAATTGAGACAAAAATCGAATCAAAATTTTGACAAAGCAACATTTTGATTCGTTTGTCTCAATTTGATAGTAAAAAAAGAAAATCTAAAGAAAGTAAAGAAAATGTTCAAAGAAACTTAGATAAAAGTGATAACCGCGAGAGTCAAAAAAAAAGTCTACGATGGTCCTTATTAAGGCGAGTCAATAAGATAGCAAGCACATACTAAAAGTGCTTAAATCTTCAAAACCAGCTGACACTGACAAGCAGCCTCTCATTTGGGGAAAAAAAGTCCCTTTGAACTTTTCTTTGCATCATCGCGCGCAGCACATCACTTTGATGCTTACAAAAAAAAAACGAGAGGAAGAAAAATGAAAAGAAGTAGTTTTTTTTCTCGCACCTTTTTACATGAAAACGTGTGCAAGCACCTGTAAACATGTGCATATTGTACATTATATTTCAGCAGGGTGTGTATATTATTGATTGAAACAATGCTGCTACGTCGCGATGCGAAAATGGGGGTGTTAAAGGAGAAAGAGAGGGAGAGTGGAGGCTGATATCGGAGTATATGTGTGGGAGACTGAGAGAGAGAGAGAGAGAGAAAGAGAGAATGAGAAAGCATAGACTGTTACTGCTATCATTGTTTGAACAGACTTGCAGTTTCACGGGCGTAACTCTCGAAGAGGGAGCCTGACATAATACCACTAATGCTATGCCCGATGAAATTTTACGTTCTTTTTAAATATTAAGCTTTTCCGCAAAAATAATCGTCTTGATAGTTTATTAAATCACTTTCTTCAATGTGCATCACGCCTTTTTTAAGACTATTATACTTCAAATTACCCCTTCATAATGGGTTATTCTATTGTTTTCCCCTCTAAGAGCCTCGCTTTTGTTTCTCACTTTTGGAGTGTGCCTTTAAATATATACTTCTCCTCGTCGACGATTACGACCTAAACCCTCTAAATATTTTCTATTCTATTAAATAAACGGAATCAATATTCCTTACAATATTTGTTATTCTAGGGAATAGAGTCAAAAAGATTGTTTCCTCCATTAGAAAGCAAAAACTGGTTTTTGCAAAACAAATAGTTTTTTGCTTCCTAATGAAGGAATGCTTCAACTTTGAACAAATTGAATTAATTTGAAATAATTTGATTTCAGTTTTGAAGAAAAGTCAGGTGACGACGAGGTACTACAGGTTCTTAACGAGACAGGGCGGCTGGGTCTGGATGCAATCGTACATAACGATTGTGAATAATCAAAGGAGTTCACGACCACAGTGCATTGTTTCGGTGAATTACGTTCTCTCTGGACCGGAGAAGCAGGAAGTGATATTAAATACAGATCAGAATAATACTTCCGTTCATGGTAATCCACCGAGTGCACCACTCACTGTATCGACACCTGGCACTGCCAGCATCAATGGCCACGACGATCACAGTTTGAGTCCATCCTATCGCAGTAGAACAGATTCAGAATATCCGGACTCTGGTTACGCCAGTTTGGAGTACATTGGAAGTACTCCGAATCCTGGATCCTATCTCTCCAGTCCATATTCCACTCAAGCTAATACGCCACACGAGGATGGGACTTATTATGCGTCCGAGATGTACGGCTACGACTATGGTAATTGAATTTTGTTTATATTGTTGTCATTGATGTTGTTTAATCATAATGGCAGTATTTACTACTGTTGGTATTTGATACTAATTGTGTTTGGCATTAATGGTATTTGCTACTAATGGTATTTGCCATTAATGCTGTTTACCACTTATGATGTTTGACACAAATGGTAGACTAATGATGTTTGCCAGTTTTGGTATTTGCCTCTAATAGTACTTGCCACTAATGATGTTTATACCACTGATGGTATTTACCGCTAATGATTACTACCAAGGATGATGTTCTGGCTACTAGTATACTAATGCTACTAGTATTATTATTATTAAGCATTAGTTATTTCCGTTTGCAAAAATTAGTGCACTACTTGTTTCGAATTTTTTTGGACCCATTTTTGAAGGAATTTTGAACCTAACAGATTTTGGGTGACTCCATTGGATGTTTTAGGTCCAATTTACATGGAGACTTTGATTTTTATACTGAACTTTGATTTTCATGACCGGATTCCGAACATATTCCAAATCCCGATTTTTGATTATCCGAAATTTTGATTTAACAACCCGAACGATTTAAATACATTTTACTTTTATTTTAAAGATGTACCGAAAATGACTAACCTTGACAACATTTCCAGGTATCCAGCCAATTTCGTCAGTACCACAACCACAGCAGCATCATCAGCCAGTAATTCATCAGACCTCAACGTCAATCATGAATGCCCATCAGCACAGTCCGCAGAATCCACGAAAAAGGCCATACTCGGCGTGCTCGAGTTCCTGTGAAAGTTCCGACGCCTCTGACACTCATCAATCAAGTCCATTGGGTGTCAATTTAATGGTAGACGGCCTCCGTGGTGTTCAATCATTCTCCAACTATCATCATCCCCCACCACATCATCATCATCACCATCTACTTGAATCATCATCATCTTCATCAACAGTAACAAATCTCGAAACAAATGCCGTAATGTTCCAAAATTGTGGCATAAGTAACAATAATTCAAATTACAACAACACAAATGCAAATCTTCCACATTACGAAAATTATCCACATCATCATTCGGGTCCACAAAGTAAAAGAAGAGCAGTTCAAATCGATCATATCGACACTGGTCCTGGTTATACAAGTGTCATTGTCGATTCACATCAGTACAGTCCAAATTCAATACAAATGAATGTACAAACACCGGTTGTGTCCACAAATACAACGGCTCTTCATTCACATCATCATCATCATCACCATCATCATCACGAGGCACATCGGCAATTTGTACACTGACAATCGGTGCAAGTGCCCATTTAGCACTCGCCAGCTGAAATAATGCTCGATGAGCAGAAAGACTTATTGCCGGATGTGACAATTCGACTCGTAAGTTGGAGGGCCAAGAGTTCGGAATGCTTTGAAAATGGATCCGAATAGAAAGCAAAGAGGTCTTGGGAAAAAACAATTTTCTTTTTAGAACAATTTTTTTTCTGAGAAGAATTCTCTTTCTCGATGAGAAATGAGAACAATTTTCGATTATATAGAACAAGGTCGATAGGATCAGTTCAAAATTGAATCCAATTGACATTTGAGAAATGGAATTTTCAGCACACAAGTATGTAATATTTGTATAAAAAATTTTTTCTTCTTTTATGCAGAATGTAAATTGAAAATTATTCTGTAAACTTTTTTGCACTTGCGTCTTTTTTTTCACTGATTTAATGTTAATTTTAACTACATTTTTTTTATTATCAAACTATAAAAAATTCTCTCTTAGTTTAATTTTGTTAATATATTCTTTTTGTCTCTAAACAATTTAGTTATCTACTTGATTCGTTTAGTCAATAAAATTGATTCGTTTTATTTAATAACATTAATTCGTTTATTTAATAACATTTAATTGTTTAAATAAAATTTAATTGTTTAATTCTTTTATTTAAGTAATCAATTTATTAAAATTTTATTCTATTTATAGAAAAATTTGCTTTACGTTTTCTCTTTTTGGAAAATATTTCCTTTATTTTCAAAGATTTCGGAAAAATTAGCGGTCAGTTGATGTCAAAAGTATATTCTTAAGTTTTGGAAAAACCCAAGGGTTTCTATTTTCTATTAAGAGGGCTAAACACTTTGAAATTTAAAAGCCGTTTATTGCCTCTCCCTTTAGTTTATTGTTGTGCTATTCCGTTACACAAAAGAGACAAAGACGGTGGAACAAAAGCAGAATATAGAAAACTTTTTTTTTACACAGAAAATTTTTTTATTTTCCAAAATATCAAATATACTGTAAAAAAAAATATTTCTTCTAATTAATTTTCATTAGAGGAATTTTTCTTCAAATTGAAAATAATTATCATTCTCTCATCAAAGAAAAAAAGAAAAACTCGCGCTGGACGTGAGAGTGATAAATTTGGAATACTTCGACAAATTTAAAAAAAAAAACAATTTTTGTTATAAACAATCTTATTAGTAATGAATGAAACAAAAAATTGTTTCAACATTGTACATATATTGCGAATGAAAAGTCAAGTAAATTTCTCGATAGTAATTTTTCTATAGTGTTAAATGTAAATAAAAATAAAATCTATCTTGCGAGAGGTGTAAATTGACATACTTTGCTATATAAAATATCAATAGGTGTAAATAAATAATTGATAATATAAAAAAAAAACCCGAAGACTGACCGGTGCTGATATGCCAACCGACCAAAGAATCCGCTATAAATTGTGGAAAAAAAATTGTATATTTTAATCCCGTTTTTTAAAAAAAATTTAAATTACCGTATACCTATTGCGTGTAAAAAAAACAAGTCTTAATTTAAATATCCAAGCACTGTAAACAATAGTCGTGAGTTTTTATGTGATTTCCAAATGAAAAAAAAATAATAATAAACAGTTTTTCTTCCATTATAATCTTAGATCTTATTATTTATTTATTGTATAATAAGATCCCACACAAACACAAACAAACAAAAATACAACAATTTATTCATAATGTACCTAGAATTCATTATAGGTAATAAACATACTCGATTAACTATTTATATTTAATGTAACATCGCGAGTGTGCCGTTCATAGTGAAGTTCGAATATTATTTTACGCCATCGCAATAATAATTTGTGATATTGTAAATATTGTATAACTAAAAAAAAATGAAGAAAAAAAAAACTGAACAGAACGGTGCCTATAAGCCGAAAATATATCATATTTTCCTCTGAAAAAAAATTATTTGTCGTTTTTATTTCACCTTGGTTCTGTTTATTCGAAATTTTTTTCTTAATAATAATAATTTATTCATAATAATTTATTACAATTATTATAATAACTATAGTTATAATAAATAATAAAATTAATTTTTTTGGCTATAGTAAAAAAAAAGTTGTTTCTTCTTTCTTGACAATATTGTCAATTTTCGTTTAATATTATTTAAATCATACTAATGAATTATATTAATTAATCATATTAAGGAAGATCGTTTGCAAGTAAGAGTTAAAAATAAAAAAATTATTAATAAAAAAAAATTGAATTTTAAAAAATGCCACATTTTTCGTCAGATTTGCAACAAAAATTTATTTTTGCTTTTTTTCTGACTTTTTCTTGATATTCAGACAGAATTTTGACTTATAATACTGAAATCTATTTGTTTACAAATTTATTTTACGAAATTTCGAACAATTTCACAAAAAAAATATGAATAAAAATTTTTCAAAAAATTAACTTCTTCAGACTTTTTGGTTAAATTATTTGAAATTTTTATTTTCTAAAATTTGAAATAGCAAACTTTTGTAATTCAATTATTCATAAAAGTTGTAAACGCATCTCTCGTAAATTTCAATTATTTTAAAAATATTTAACTAAAAGTTTTCTCTAAATCAATTATTTTTAATAATTTTTGAGAAAGTACTTTGAGAATTCAATTACTTAAACAAAAAAAAAACATGTAAATTCATTTGAAAATAATTCTAAAATCCCTTTATATACAATTTATTTTTACTAAATTTCAATTTTATTCGAAAATTTTACAAATAAATATACATTCAAAAATTTCAAACAATTTCAAAAGAATAATATGAAAAAAAATATTCAAAAATTTAGCTTCTTTAGAATTTTTAATTAAAATTATTATAAATTTAAATTTCTAACATTTCTTATTTAAATTATTTGAAATTAAATCAATTTCATATTCTGTAAATTTAAATTATTAGTGTCAGAAATAGAATAAGATTAAATTGTTGGTTATTTCGAAAAAATAATAATTTTCTTATATTCTACAAACTTATTGTTTTCCCAGTGCTTTTGATATATTTCTGTGATTTTTCCTCGATTTTTGAATAAATTAAATTCAAAATTATGAAAATAGTTTTTGAAAAATTGTTGAATCACATTTTTCATAGAAATTAATTCAATTTTCAATTGAAAAATTTTCCATAATTATTTCAAATATTAGAAAATTTAATTGAAAACAATTTAAGTTTCGACTTTTTTTTAAAAAGAAATTTTCATTTTCTTAATAATCGAAATCTGAAAAAACTTCCTTAAAATAACTAAAAAGTAATTACTTTTGAAAATTTAGAGGAAGTTAATAATTTCATTCTAGAATTAAATTCAAACAATTTCAAAAGAATTTGAATAAATATTTTTCAAAAAATTAACTTTTTTAGAATTTTTATAATTAAAATTATTTAAAAGTAAAATTTTCTGAATTTTTAAATTGAATTAAAATTATTTAAAACTAAATCAATTATTTTTAATAATTATTTTTGAGAAAGTACTTTTAGAATTCAATTATTTAATAAAAAAAAAAAAAATGTAAATTTATCTGAATATAATTCTGAAAATTCCTTTATTTATAATTCAATTTTACTAAATATCAATTTTATTCGAAAATTGTATAATTAAATATAAACACATTCAAAAATTTAAAGAATTTAAAAATAATTTGAATAAAAATTAACTTCTTTAGAATTTTTAATAAAATTATTTAAAATTTAAATTTTCTGAAATTTTAAATTGAATTACATTATTTAAAACTAAATGAATGTAATGTTCTATACAGTTAAAAAGTTAAATGTAATTATTAATAATAATTGAATTTTGGAAAAATTACTGTTGTAATTTTCAGAAATAATTCAAATTCAAATGATTTGAAATTGTAATTTTTTTAAAATTTGTCTTCTACTATGAAACGATATAAAATAACGATAAGTATTTAAAATAATTAAGCAAAATTTCCAAAAGTATTGAATAATTTAATTTAGAAATTTTTGAGAAAATTAGGTTTCTAAAAAATTTTGATTTAAAATCTAAACATAATTTCTTTAAAATAATTGAATTCCCGAACACAATTAATTGAAAATTTTTCAAATAATTTAAAAAACCAAACAAAAATTTGGTTTCTAAAAATTGTAATTACAATTTCTTCAAAATAATTGAATTCCCAAGAATAATTAATTGCAAATTTTTAAACGAATATTTCTTTAAATATTAAATTATTGTTATTTGTTATAATATAAAAAATATTTTTTCCTTTTAAATATTTTTTTTTTTATTTTTTATTATTTCTTTCAATTGTTGATCAGAATTTTGCTGGCGTGTTTAATCAATAAATATTAGCAGATGTTATATTTTGGAATTTTTCAAAATTATATCTATAAATATATAAAAAATTAATAAAATAAAGAAAGGTGAAAATAGCTAAAATAAAAAATAGTTGCAAATAGATAAAATTAAAGAATAGATGAAAATAGCCAAAATAAAAAATAGTTGAAAATAGGTGAAAATAGCAAAAATAAAAAATAGGCGAAAATTGATAAAATAAAAATAGGTGAAAATAGGAAAAATAATAAATAGGCGATAATGGATAAAATAAAAAATAGATAAAGAGGAAAAAAATTCCAATTTTATTTCATTACTAGAAAACATAGAGAAAGAGAAAAAGAGTTATAATATATAAATTTTTGTAAGTGGATATTGTTTTCAGTGATATTGAGAATAATATTGTAAATATACAATATATACATTATATAGAGGAAAAGTCAGAACCAAGGATTAACCATTTATATATATTATAGTCAATGGGCTTGGAGGATGAAATTTATGTATAGCAGGTACTTTGTGTGTTTGCAGTTGCAATTCTCGGCATCGAGACAAATTATTGCTAGTCCCCTTATAATATACAGAGAGTGAGAGAGAAAAAGAGAGAAAGCCCTAACTTTATGGGGGGTTTTGTGGAATTTTACTCTTTAACCATTGGGGATTCCCCAGAAATTTTGGTGAGCGCAGGTGATTTGCCAAATACAACTATGAAAGCCGATTGCTTTTATACCATAAATTTGACCTGCGATTCTTGTGTTTATTTAGCCATCTTAACAACGCGATATTTTTTTCCCCACTATTTCATCTATATTATTATAAATATGCGCATTTATACACATTTTCTTTATTCTCAAACTATAATCATTATCCTGCTAAACAAAAAATAGATATACTTTTTAATTCGATAAATAATAATAATAATAATAATAATAATAATAATAATAATAATAATAATAATAATAATAATAATAATAATAATTAATATTGTCGATAATTTTACATTCGGATTTATTATTTGATGATATAATTTTACTAGAATTAGTATTAATAAAATAAAAGTCGAATAAATTTACTTCTTTTGTACCTATATAATATTTATAATTTTTTTTTCTTTTTTTATTTTATTTTATTTAGAAAAAAAATGAAAATTGAAATAAAAATGTGAGAATTCGTGACACATCAGGTGGTCCAATATGTCAAAACGCTTTGTTCTCAAAATTTCCTATGACGTACTCTAACGAGTGATCGCACAATTTCACGGAATCATGCATTGGGTAAAGAATTTTAATGAGAGACACGCGTCCGCCTCCCTTGAGCGATCAGTCAGTATTGTGAGCGAGTAATAGAGCCTTTTAAATTTATATGTCTTGGCTACGTCATAATAAAAAGTAAAAATAGTCAAAAAAAATTAAATAAATTAAATTACAATAAAAAAAAATTTTTTTAATTCAATATTTTTGAAAGCCATAAAATTATATAAATAAAAGATGTTTTGATTCTTCTGTTTGGCCATTAGGCCAAACAGAAGAATCGAAACATCTTTTATTTATATAATATTTAATTTAGTTAAAAAAAATAATAATAAAAATAAAAATAAAAATAATAAAAATAATGATAATAATAATAATAATAATAATAATAATAATAATAATAATAAAAATAATAAAAAAAATGAGAATAAAAATAATAATGGAAACAACAATACTAAAAATAAATAATGCCAATAATAGTTGAAAAATATAATAGTCGATTCGTACAGTGAAACCTGTCTTTTAGTCACTGCTCCAGTGTACTGGACTATAATGGGCCACGTGGCCTTTCGCGAAACAACCCCATGCCGAGAAACACACGCCCTGAGGTTTTATATACATACCCGGGAATCACAGTCACATTTCCAACTCATTTATTGTTCCTTCCAGTGTCAATTAAATGCACCCCCTCCAACCCCCTCTCTCCCATGTCCCTTTACCAAAAAAAACAGGATCATATTCTTTTTTTATTCTCAGGCTTTGCTTTTGAAAGGATCTCATTATATTCGTCGTCGTGGACTTTGTTTACCGTTGTTTTTATTTTACTTAAAAAAGAAATAAAATAGATAAAAGAAGAAAATAATAAAACTCATTTTTACTTTTTGTATATACACAACGGTGAAGTTTACAACGTTTATTATCGCAACGATTGCAAGAAATAAAATATTTTTCTTGACAAAAATAATAAATTGTTTTGTTCAGAAATTTTTCTATTTCAAATTATTATGATGAAAAAAATTTACGAAAGTGTTTTTGTGCAAAAATTTGAATAGAAAATATTTTTTTTTCTAAATCGTTGATTATAAACGTTGTGAACTTATTCACCAACGTTTTTGTATACGGCAGATTTTTCATATATTTTTTTTTATTATTTTGTCTACATTTGAAGCTCTACTTTTCAAAAGGTGAATTTTTTTCCCTTTACATTTTTCAATTATTTTCATTATTTCGATTATTCATTTCTAGAATTTTCAACTAAAATTCTTCTTTAAGTCAATATTTTCTTAAAATAATTTTTTGAAAAAGATCTTTGAGAATTTTCAAATCCGCTTTTTTTTACAATTTAATTTTATGAAATTTCGATTATTTTGACA